AACAAATGGTTAACAGCAAAATTTTTAAGAGCAATTGATTTTCATTTCTTTCTTCAAGTTTATGAACATGCTTTCGAAGTATGATACCGTCCGAAACAATCTATGATAAATAAGCCTAGATAGAGAATAGATCGAAATCAACTAGTGGCGTAACCATAAAAAAGATTTCCTCGGGCGCAACCCTAGTAGAAAACGTTTTCGTTCGTCTGCAGTCGTCATTTTGTAAATTTTGAAAATCTGTACTCCTGAACCGGGGCGTGGAGAAATACAAGTTGAAATGGGCACAAATGGGGATGCAACAAATGAAAACGGTTTGCAGCAGTGTCCAAGGACTGACAAATAGGAATTCTCCCAATTCCTAATAATAACACACAAATATACATAATTCCCTGAGGAATTGAGAAACGACCATCATTCACTGCACATTTCCTCGATATTTCCTGGACAATTCCCCGTTAGGTATTAACGCGACAACGGAATGACATAAACATTACACCCCAAATTCCTTCTCAATTCCTCAATTTCTTCGAAGGAAATGAGCACATTACAATACCTAACGCAAGGAAACGAGGAAATGAGTAGAACTGATGGCCAGTTCCCCGTCAGGGAACTGACACTTTCCTTATAGAGATAACCAAAAATAAACGCAATAGCAACCATAAACACAAAACTTTCTTGGAAAAAGAAAAAAAAGCCAGGGAATCGAGGAATTATCTCAGTTCTGCAGGCAGTTCCTCAGTTCATACTGGGTACCTAGCAGGAACCAACCATCATTTCCCCGGGGAACTGGCGGAATTGAGGTGACACACAGTGTATAAAACGAAATTCTTCCTGGAAAAAGGAAAAAGCCGGCGAATCGAGGAATTGGCTCAATTCTGCAGCCAGTTCCTCAGTTCCCACTGGGTACCTACAAGGCACCTAGCATCATTTCCCCGGGCAACTGGCGGAACTGAGGTGACACGGTATATACGAACAAATACTTCCTGCAAAAAGGAAAAAGCCGGGGAATCGAGGAATTGACTCAGTTCTGCAGGCAGTTCCTCAGTTCCCACTGGGTACCCACAAGGCACCTAGCATTAGTCCCACGAGGGACCGGGCGAACTGAGGTGACACAGAGTATATGGCAAGAAATACGTCCAGGAAAAAGAAAAAAAGCCGGGCAATCGAGGAACTGACTCGGTTCTGCCGACAGTTCCTCAGTTCATACTAGGTACCTAGCGGGAACCAACCATCATTTCCCCGGGGAACTGGCGGAATTGAGGTGACACACAGTGTATAGAACGAAATTCTTCCTGGAAAAAGGAAAAAGCCGGCGAATCGCGGAATTGGCTCAGTTCTGCAGACAGTTCCTCAGTTCCTACTGGGTACCTCCAAAGAACCTAGCATTAGTTCGCCGGGGAACCGGGCGAACTCACGTTACACCGAGCATATAGCAAGAAATACATCCTGGAGAAAGGAAAAAGCCGAGGAATCGAGGAATTGACTCAGTTCCGAAGACAGTTCCTCAGTTCGTAGTGGATACCTACAAGGAATCTAGCATTAGTTCCCCGGGGAACTGGGCGAACTGAGGTGGCACAGAGTACACCGCACGAAATATTTCCTGTAAAAAGGAAAAAGCCGGCGAATCAAGGAATTGAATCAGTTCTGCCGACAGTTCCTCAGTTCCTACTGGGTACCTACAAGGAACCTACCATCATTTCCCCGGGGAACCGGCCGAATTGAGGTGACACACAGGGTGCAGCACGACATACATCGTAGAAGAACTAAAAAGCCGAGCAATAGAGGAATTGACTCAGCTCCGAAGGCAGTTCCTCAGTTCCTAGTCGGTACCCACATGGAACCTAGTATTAGTTCCCCGGGGAACTGGGCGAACTGAAGTGACACAGAGTATATGGCAAGAAATACTTCCCGGAAAAAGGAAAAAGCCGGGCAATCGAGGAATCGGCCCAGTTCTGCCGACAGTTCCTCAGTTCCTGCCGGGTACCTAGAAGGAACCGGCCATTAGATCCCCGGGGAACTCGGCGGACTGAGGTGAGACAGAGTACACAGCAAGAAAAATTTCCCGGAAAAGGGAAGAAGACGGGGAATCGAGGAATTGGCTCAGTTCTGCCAACAGTTGCCCGGTTCCTACTGGGTACCCACAAGGAACCTAGCATTAGTTCCCCGGGGAACTGGGGGAACTGACGTGACACAGTATATATCTGCTGAACTGTCGGCAGAACTGACCCAATTCCTCGATTCCCCGTCTTTTTCCCTTTTCCGGGAAATATTTCTTGCTGTGCACTCTGTGTCACCTCAGTTCGCACAGTTCCCCGGGGAACTAAAGCTAGGTTCCTTGCAGGTACCCACTACGAACCGAGGAACTGTCTTCAGAACTCAGTCAATTCCTCGATTCCAGGCTTTTTACTTCTTCCACGAAGTATTTCGTTCTCTAATCTGTGTGTCACCCGAATACCACCAGTTCCCGGGGTAAATCATGTTAGGTTCCTTCTAGGTACCCAGCAGGAACTGAGGAACTGTCGGCAGAACCGAGTCAACTCCACCATTCCCCTGCTTTTTTTTTCCAGGAAGAATTTCTTCCGATACAAACTGTGTCACCTCGGCTCCGCCAGTTCCCCGTTGAACTACCGCTAGGTTCCTTGTAGGTGCCAACTAGGAAGTGAGGAACTGTCTGTAGAACCGAGTCAATTCTTCGATTCCGCGGCTTTTTCCTTTTTACATGTAATATTTGTTCGTGTATACTGTGTCACATCAGTTCCCCCAGTTCCCCGGGAAAATGATGGTAGGTTCCTTGTAGGTACCCAGTGGGAACTGAGGAACTGTCGGCACAACTGAGCCAATTCCTCGATTTCCCGTCTTTTTTCCTTTTCCGGGAAATATTTGTTGCCGTGTACTCTGTGTCCCCTCAGTTCCCCCAGTTCCCCGGCGAACTAATGCTAGGTTCCTTGTAGGTACCCGGTAGGAACTGAGGAACTGTGGGCAGAACTTAGTCAATTCCTCGATTACCCGGCTTTTTCCTTTTTGTAGGAAGAAGTTCTTGCCATATACTCTGTGCCACCTCAGTTCCGCGAGGTCCCCGGCTAAATGATGGTAGGTCCCTTCTAGGTACCCAGTAGGAACTGAGGAAGTGTCGGCAGAACTGGGTCAACTCCTCGATTCCTCGGCCTTTTCCCTTTTCCGGGAAATATTTGTTGCCGTGTACTCTGTGTCACCTCAGTTTCCCCAGTTCGCGGGGGAACTGCTGCCAGGTTCCTACCCTCGATTCTCCGTCTCTCTCGGCTTTCGAGGAAGTATTTCTTGCTTTTTGCTCGGTGTAACGTCAGTTCCCCCAGCCCCCGGGAACTAATGCTGGGTTCCTTGTAGGAACCGCTAAGTACTGAGGAACTGTTTTCGAAGCTGAGTCAATTCCTCGACTCCTCGGCTTTTTACTTCTTCCACAAAGTATTTCGTTCTGTACCCTGTGTGTCACCTGGATTCGGCCGGTTCCCCGGGGAACTAATGCTAGGTTCCGTGTAGGTACCCAGTAGGAACTGAGGAACTGTCGGCAGAACTGAGTCAATTCCTCGATTACCCGGCTTTTTCCTTTTTGCAGGAAGAAGTTCTTGCCATATACTCTGTGTCACCTCAGTTCCGCGAGGTCTCCGGCTAAATGATGGTAGGTCCCTTCCAGGTACCCAGTAGGAACTGAGGAAGTGTCGGCAGAACTGGGCCACTTCCTCAATTCCTCGGCTTTTTCCTTTCTCCAGGAGGTATTTCTTGCTATATGCTCGGAGTAACGTGAGTTCGCCCAGTTCCACGGGGAACTAATGGTAGGTTCTTTGAAGGTGCCCAGTAGGAACTGAGGAACTGTCTGCAGAACTGGGCCAATTCCTCGATACCCGGGCTTTTTCCTTTTTCCAGGAGGTATTTCTTGCTATATACTCTGTGTCATCTCAGTTGCCCCAATTCCCCGGAAACTGATGCTAGGTTCCTTGTAGGTACCCAGTAGGAACGGAGGAACCGTCGGCAGAACTGAGCCAATTGCTCGGTTCCCCGGCTTTTTACTTCTTCCACGAAGTATTTCGTTCTGTACCCTGTGTGTCACATCAGTTCCGCGAGTACCCCGGGGAACTAATGCCAGGTTCCTTGCAGTTACCCAGTAGGAACTGACGAACTGTCGGCAGAACTGAGCCAATTCCTCGATTCCCCGGCTTTTTCCTGTTTCCAGGAGGTATTTTTTGCTATATACTCTGTGTCACCTCAGTTGCCCCAGTGCCCCCGGAAGCTGATGCTAGGTTCCTTGTAGGTACCCGGTAGGAACTGAGGAACTGTGGGCAGAACTGAGCCAATTCCTCGATTACCCGGCTTTTTCCTTTTCGCAGGAAGAAGTTCTTGCCATATACTCTGTGTCACCTCAGTTCCGCGAGGTCCCCGGCTAAATGATGGTAGGTGCCTTCTAGGTACCCAGTGGGAACTGAGGAACTGTCGGCAGAACTGATTCAATTCCTCGATTCCCCGTCTTTTTCCCTTTTCTGGGAAATATTTCTGGCTGTGTACTCTGTGTCACCTCAATTCCCCCAGTTCCACGGGGAACTGATGCTAGGTTCCTTGTAGGTACGCGGTAGGAACTGTCGGCAGAACTGAGCCAATTCCTCGATTGCCCGGCTTTTTACTTGTTCCACGAAGTATTTCGTTCTGTACCCTGTGGGTCACGTCGGTTCGCCCGGTTCCCCGGGGAACTAATGCTAGGTTCCGTGTAGGTACCCAGTAGGAACTGAGGGACGGTCCGCAGAACTGAGTCAATTCCTCGATTCGCGGGCTTTTTCCTTTTCGCTGGAAGAAGTTGTTGCCATATAGTCTGTGTCACCTCAGTTCCGCTAGGTCCCTGGCTAAATGTGGTAGGTACCTTCTAGGTATCCAGTAGGAACTTTCGGTGGAACTGATTCAATTCCTCGATTCCTCGGCTGTTTCCTTTTTCCAGGAATAATTTCGTTTTATAAGCAAAACATTATGAAAATTGTTTACTTTTTTTCTTTTATTGTTGAATATTGTTGTAATGGTTGAGTAAACAGTGATACAGCGCCTTTCTTCACGGGATAATGACGGGATAATCTTGTTAAATATTTGTCGTCACATACTTCAACACCTTCAGCACCTCTGAAATCAGTGCCAAATCCGGATGTATCATAGAAATCAACCTAGAAAGAACAAAATAACTCCAGTTTATTACTGTATAACAAAGATTTCTTTCAGTCTTATTTACATCTACCACTGAGAAAAGTACTGGAAAGTAACTTACGAGGGAACGTATTTAGGTGATTAAGCCGTTTAGACTCCATCTTTTGGCTATAAGTAGACCTTGATGAGGTATGAAAAACCTGAAA